TATGTATGTATGTATGTATGTATGTATGTATGTATGTATGTATGTATGTATGTATGTATGTATGTATGTATGTATGCATGTATGTATATATATATACATAGGCACTAACATGACCAATTATTGCTAAATTAATCGTAAAAATTCATATCTTCATTTACAATATTCGTGTGTTACCGGTGAATATTAAGGAAGATAATGGTAATGAGAAAAGGATTAAACGTAATACGACTAAACTATAATGCAACTTAATAATTTTAAACGATCATGTTCCAAACTTGAGTACTTCATTTTTCATTCTACGAAAACGCTGGAGAGTCTACATTTTATTAAATAAATATAAAATGTAATATGTTCAGTAACACAACCTACCCAAGTATATAAATATGTATTGAGATTATAAAGTATAACAATTATTTTTAATTATCTGAAACTTCCTTCGTTATCCCTTTTCAATGCTACAATTAAAATCAAATTTACATTTTTTATTTAACATGTTACAAACAAGAACAAGATTGCAAATCCTTTAAAACTAAACCTGTAGGAAGCAAAGGATATATACTTCTTAATGCTCCATCATCTGGTGAAAGTGTCCTTTCAATATATCCTTAATGATCAGTTATGGCAGTTATTATCAGTATGATATGCCTGCGCTACTTCTACTATATTACATCACTTCAAAGTTCGACTATGATAAACGAAACATTTTTTTTTTTCATTTTTATGTTTAAAAATATTTGCGTTATATTGCAAACAGAAAATTGTTAAAAGATAAATTTCGATTTTTTAAAAACGTTGATTAATATGTTTCTCCTCTTATGATATTGTATTAATAGTTTTACAGGTGCATTTACATCAGATAAAGGCAAATTAATGTACTATATTACATGAAGAAATGTGCAAATTTTAAACTTCACAGTTCATCCTTAATCTTGAGTTACAGTCATATCCACATTTTAACCATTCATCTTATTGAAATGTCATTTCAATAAAAGCACAGAATAAAATATCTAAAATGTATGAAACAATACAATTCATATGATGCAGAAGTTAATAGAAGTTTATTAGAGGAAAGATAAAGTTTAACTTAAGCTTATGTGTCTCTTGACAAGCCCATTTCATAAAATCTTATATTATTAAAATGTTCCTTCCCTTTCTGAAGCTGGTATAAATATATTGAGAAATTACTACAACTGTAACTTCCGAGCGAGCAAGCGAGGCAGAAAAACAGAGTAAAAGCGTGTGAATATTCTCACATGCTTTTTTACAAAATTTCCGATAATTTTCATCATTTACGTTTACATCATTTCTGCAATAATTGCTTTTCACAAATTTTAAGGGAACATGATCTTCCCCAAAAAAACAAATTATCTTTTTACGTGTGAATTGTTATACGATTTTGCATTTTACTATTATAAAGTGAAACATGTGATAAATTTATCCGTGGATCTAAGAATATACAGAATTTTTTAGGCCTCACTTGGCATCTGGCATTCAACTGAATAATAAATAATATATTTAGGAAAAATTGTATAATATGATATCTCCTAGAATGGCAAATATTTTACAATAGCGTAAATGAGTATAATATAACGGTTACAAAACAATTAGAATATACATACATATATGGCACAAATAAAATAAATATAATTCGCGATATGCACAAATGAAAATGAAAACTGCCCTTGATATAATTCGGTATCGAATTTTATGGAATACCAATATTGCTTTATCAAAATTTGTCTTTTTTCGGGAAGCGAAACATGAATTCTTTTGAGTGGCTCTAATTTATACGTGTTTATGATGCAATAAATATAATGAATGATGTTAAAAAAATTGCAGAAGTGATATAGCACCGAATGTATGTTGGAATACCTATTAGAAACAGTTGATCAAATAAGTATGTCATGTAAGAAGGAGCCAATGAAGTATCGAAGACAACAGAACTGACACGTATCAGTCACCTGACTGGGGATGAATTCAATGACCTGACATTGGAAAATAGTAGTGTAGTGTACACAACATCAGATAGTAATTTAAACTTCAAAAACTAGTTACATACCGCTTACTGGAGCAGTTTGAGTATAACATATATAATAAAAGAAGAGTATGTCGTATCAACATTGGGTACTATGCGTTGACAGAGAGTTGGCATCTATGACAGTACAAGGCCAAGAGACGTATTTTGCTATATTTTGTTTACGTATGATTGTATTGTATTCCACTCTGACCTGCATTCTTTCCAAGTGCCAACTCTCCATCAATGCGCTATACCTATATCTGATCATGATTGATGTGACTGAGCGAGCGAAATAATTTGTTAGTATCAAGACTGACGAAACAGCAATGAGAAGCCATACGACAAAAAGGCTGAGTCAAATTACTCGAACGATCTTCTGATGAAATAGGGACGTACGTCCTTAGAGGTAGTCTTAAGATGTAGTAAGATCAACCCCAACTTCTTTGAGGAAAATACATTTCTTTCTGGATTTTAGATTTAATTTTTTTAAAATAAAGAAAAAAGAAAAAATTCCCCTCCTCTTTAAATTGTACATAATTAATTTTAACCATTTTTTGACAATTGTTAAGGGATATTTTGTTGCAACGTAAACAAAAATCGGTTGTCCTCGGAGAGTTGCCGAGATCTGAAACGTTTCATTATAGAACAGTTATAAAATAATTTAGTCAAATTGTACGTAACGCTTACGTAACAAAGTGTAAATAAGTGTAAAACAACAAAGATGTCTCGAATATCTACGCCCAGTCGTAACAGTACGAATATCGTAATTTTTCTCTAATTTACGATAATATTTTCAAGGAAATAACGAAAATGACCTTTTTTACATTATTTTACAATTTCTATGGTTTTTTTCAAATATTATTGTACGCATATTTTAGCACCATGTAAGAATTAGAAAGCTTTCATAATAATATACAGTATTCGCGCTTTGTGAATATGATTTGTTGTCTTCTTCCCAAAAATATTGCCGTTTGCATCATATCGTGGGGCTATTGTTAGTCTTCGCTCGCTCATCACTAGACTGCGTATGTTTATGCAAATTCGCGATTATAAATACTACTTTATACAAAAAATAGATAAAATTTTATTTTATCGAAATTTTATCATGTTCATTTTAACATTCAAACAATATTGGACTTCATAACCATTTTTATTTTACTGCATTTTATAAATAATAATAAATGCATAAACTTTTGCAATCCACTCAATTATCATTTCTTGATTACATCAGCAAAACGAGAAACGAGCTACAGAAATAACCGCAAAATAGTATTTATAACTTTCTATAACCTGAAGCAAGCGGTATAATTATATGGAATTAATACTGTCCTGTTTTACTATTCCTTTTTCTGTGAAATGATTCGAACATGTATGAATATATTTCTATAAAATGAAAATTAGCCTTTTTCAAACCAAATGTGAGATTTTTTAAAGTTCCTAATACCATAACAGATTTCATTTATTCAGGGGTTGTTTCAACAGGGCGGTTCTCAATTTAAATTTGATTCTACTATGTGAAATAGTTGCATGTCGATGCATACTTAATAATGAATTTATATAAATATGAAACACTGATTATATAAGTGGTATATAATTCATTGTAAAAAATAAGTTTCTAAATATTACTGTCTTTCAGATTATGAAATCCTTGGTTTTACCGTCATGAAAAATTTTTTATTTTCTTTGGCAACTCCACAGCAAAATAGACCACACCTGCAATTGCTAATTTAAGGAAATATTTTCCTCATTTCATCTTCGTGAAATGTCGAATTTAAATTCAGGATAAAATATACCTGTTGTTTACTGTTACAACAAGGGTATAATTAAGTTTTCATTGTACTACGCAATTTTTATTTCGTTGAGCTAAACCAGCTCTAGATAAATCACGTTCTATTTCGTCATCATCCTCAATACTGTAATATAGCAGAAATTGAAATAAATTATCGTTTTCTAAGAAATAAGGGACTGATTAATAAAATTTACTTACGCTCTTTCTTGTGTATCAAGATGATGAACTAGTTCGTCTCTTTTGTTTACAATAGAAACTAGTTCTTCCAAAAGTAAATTTTCACGCATTTTTTGTTCAGACGTCTTTCTTGAATCTTCTACTGCAAGTATACTTCTTAATTCACGATTTAAAAGTTCAAATCGACGTTCTAAGTCATCTTCTTTTTCTCTAAAATATTGAAAATGATAGCTTTAAAGTAATATATATTAATTGCATCGTGTAATGATTTTAAAATACTATTGCAGAATTATTAATAGAACACAACAAATATTTTCTTACAATATATTTAATTGCATTTGTCTTCTTAAAAGCGCATTCTTTTTGTTCACAAGAGTGAACCACAGAGACATCAGTCTTTCAGTTTCTTCTTCATTGTCACTTTCCATTGCAGCGCGAAGTTGTTTTTCAAGTTTACCCGCTTGAATATCTATTTGAGTTTGCTCCCTTTCTAATGCTTCTAATTCATTTTGAATGTACGATGTCATATCCTTCCCCAACTAATTATAACATTATTTTAATCATTATATTCAATTCAGAATAAGAATAATTATCATATGCAATTTAAAATAAACATAACACATACTCCTCTGAGTGTATATGATGTACCATCAGGACTCGTTTTGTCTGGTGAAATTCTTTCTATTATTTTAGAAAATGAGTATAAGGGAGACCCAGTCTTTTTGTCACCATCTATTACACCCGGAGTTCCCAGTATATTACCGTTGTACTCAGACTAAAATATTTATATATTAATAATCTCTTGTTACAATTTATAACATTTAGATGGTAAAGAGCCATTTATAGAATAAAAAATGTTGATGATAATTATTAGTATAAAATCACTGTCTCACAAAATCGAATTTGTAAATTTACATTACTTACCTTTGTACTAAATCTATCACCAGGAGTGGATGGCGTAATGCTTCGTCTTGGACTGTTATTTTGATCGTCTACCGATCGTCTATCACTGTTATTGTCATCATTCAATTGATTTGATGAAACATTAACGCCCATTTTTACTTCTGCTATTAAACGTCTTGCTCTCTCACGTAACTGCTGTTGTCTTTCTTCATCGTTTTGACCCTAACAATCATAAAATATAACTTCCTCCGAGTGAACACTTCAATACAAATAATTGAAATAATAAATAATGTATTAAAGTAAACAGGTGTGTACACTCATTCAATAAAAAATATAAAAGTGAAGAAATAAAACCTCGATGGAACTAGCGGTGGTAGAAACAAAATCAGCTGATTTTGTCTGATTCCTGGCCTGTTCTAAGAGTTGCCTTGCACGTTCTCTTAACTCATCATGCCGACTGACTAATGGCTAATGTAAAAAAAATGGCAAATTAGTTGCAAGCAAAAAACAACTTAAAAAGTGTACAAAGACTAATTACATGTTGAAAACGTTGCTCTCTGTGAGGTGAGGATACACTCTGATATTCAGTACTATCACGACTTCCCCTGTCAGTTGCATCCTACAACAAGATGCATTTACTACTATTATTACAATATTATTCACTAAATAAAAATTTACAGAGGAGTTATATAGTTAAATCTAATATTATATAATATAACGTATGTATTAAAAGAAGTAATTATACCTACAAGGATATACATATGTATTAGATGGATGAAATATAAAAAAGTTTTAAAATCAGTACATTTCGTAAAAAATAAAAACTAATATTTAGGATCAAAATAGTACGAATGGGTACATTTTGTTAGTAATGATTTGAAGTATGTGTTAAGGAATACATGTAACGACGATTCGAATTTTTAATATTATTTTAGATATATACATATATACATATGTACATATGTTTTATTATATCTCTTCCACTATGTATAAATTAGTAGGGATACTAAGACACATACACTGTATATTTTTTAATGTTTACATGCAGGATGTGCACATGCAAATAAGCATAATATGCAAAGACAGTCCCAAAGATTTTAAAAATTTGTTTGTATTCTTCCATTTTTGTGACATTTTCACAACACATGTGTCAAATTCATTGAAATTGGAAATTTTTTCTTTAGGATTATCTTTAACAGAATTAGAAAAGCAAAATACCTATTTTACAAAATGTCAAATATCTGCAATCGAAACTAATTCTTTTTATAGAAAATGAAGAAAATGTAAAGAGATAAAAGAGTAATTCATGTTGCAGTAATATAACACAAAAAGGCTTCATATAACACAAAAAGAGTGATAGAATTTCATAGATTGTATATATTAAAAGAAATCTAAATCAATTTCATAAATGCGGAATTAATTCTGATAATATAAAATTATAAAAATTAAATATAGGTGTGATCTTAATGCAATAGATTATATTGTAAAGTATATCTAAGTAAAGTGAAATATGTCTGAGTAATTTAGATATACTGACATCTCGAATAGGCGACTGTAATTTGTTAACTGAAACTGATTGAGACCACTTTTCATCGACTATTTGCATATTTTCCTCTTCCTCATCCGATCCAAAAGGATCTGTTAATTGTCGACGAGTCATTAATATTGGACGTTGCTGTACTTGTGGTACTCTTGGAGGTGATTTGTTCTGTAGTCAATTTAATTTAATATCTTATATTACCATTTTGAACAATAATTCACAACGATACATAAGAAGGAATGCACATGATTTCACAATGATTATACATACACATACATATAGCTTACATATGAAGAATATATGTACATACCTTTTCTTTAGATAAATATTTTTCTTTAGTTGGAGATAACACCTTTTCTAGAATACTTTTTGAGCTAGCTAATATCATGTCTTTTACATCTTTAACACTAGATGGTGATTTATCCTTATTGCATTGATCGTAATCCTGATTATCAGTATTTAAATTCAAATGTAATCTATTTTTTAATGAATCCATATTGGCATCCTCCTTTTTATTATCAAAGGGATTCAATCTGCAGATTAAACAAATTTTCAATTTCATAATTAATAACATCCACTTTTAAGATGAATTTTTAATATTTATGAGAATTGTATTGAATATACCGTCTATTGTTATCCATTTTATTACTTTTATGTTCCATTTGATCTTTTTTATGCAAATTAATTATTTCTTGGCTAAACAACTGTACATTCACGTCCGAATTATTGTCTGTATTAAATCTACCAATCATATACGAAGATTCATCTGTAGTTTTACCTATTTGATGTACCTGCAGACATAAAATAGCTTCTTTAATTAAAAAAGAATTAGTACATGTTCAAAATACATAGAAATAAACATTATTTTAGACACAAAGGATTTCTGCTCAGAGGCGCGCCAAAGATATTTGTCAGCCGGATGTAAACTTTTATTGACCTATCTTTAAAAAATAAAAAAACAACATTATAATCTTTCAATAATGTTCCGCTGCAAGGTCGTACGCTGTCTCACTCTCAACGCTATTAATAATTATACTACATTGCATAATTCAAATTATATATTAGATGTATAAAATAAATATTAAATATTTATTTTTTGCCGCCCGGGTGCAGTACACCACTTGCACCCTCGGGTTGGCGCGGCCCTGTTTCTGATACACGTTGAAATATTTTTACAGGTGAAAGGGAACTTATATGGAACGAAAGGTATTTTAAAAAATGGAAGCAGATTGGCCATAACATCATCTCTTACTTCAGTGTCTCCCTAATTGCATCCAAAAGATTTCAATATACAATGAACATTGGATAATTGCAACATCGGGGACTTCTTCATAAACGCAACATCGTTATCCCCACCATATCTCCATCACGTTCCTTTTAACACACCATAGCGCTCGACAACCGATCGCAGTTGAAGGGTTTAACATAATCCGACTGTTGTCCAACTTGACGATTTCATCATCTATTTCTTTCCTATTCGCAATCCTTTTCTATATCCAAAACTTCAATCGCTTATTATACAAGCAATTATGATCGTAATTCTATCGTGTTTGATGAAATTTTAAGCAGAAAAACGTAGCATACAAGATGGTGAAAGTTTCATTCATCAAAAGTAAAAAATGAAGAATTTTGATGTTTGAGTTAAAGGTTTCAAGCTCATTGTGAGCTTTTAATGTTGCCGAACGCTGTGAGTCTCAGTCTTCCTTTTTCCTTCATTCGCGTTGTCTTTCTCTACATCCGGCATGCTAAAATCTTCGTTTCTTGAAGTGGATTCGATTCTACCTCTTCATAATTGCAACTTTCCGGTCCCGTTGAGTGTTGTAATTATCTAATGTTCACTGTATACTTTGTTTGAACTATATAAATTAAAATGCCCTCATAATTAAAAGAATACATTCCAACAAGTACTTGCCCCTGAACTTGTTATAAAATTTAATATAAAAGATTATAATAAACTATATTAATTGTCATTATAAATGAACTAAAATAACCATTGACTTTACATTACTTAATACTGAGTATTATATTATTTATTGTAATACTTATCAATCTCAATTATCAAAGATTTAATGAATTAGATCTATTAACTTTCATTTTTATTTTCTTATAAGTTTCCTGCATTTTAAAATATGATATCTCATTCTAAAGTTAAAACTGAAAATAAATGTATTGTGCATAGGAGATTTTTTTTATTGATTACCTCTAATTCATGGCCAGTGAAATGTGCTCTTAGCTGATATAAATATGTCATCACAGCTAACTTGTCAGGTACAGTTAATATATCCATATCTGCTGGTTCTATAACTCTAGGTATACCAAGGGCTTCTCCAGCGTCAAATGCTTTCTTACAGTTACCTTTTACATCATGTGATAGTAACGAATCTATATCTCTGTGAAATTTTATTTCAGAGAAACGAATGAATATAAGCCAACAATTTATAAATAGAACAAATAAATAAGATATTTGGTATACTGCCAAATTTATTAAATGTAACCACAGTATACCTTTGTTTCCCATAGGGAAAATATAAATGTTTCTTTAGTGATTTTTAACATTAAAATTATAAATAAATATAACTACAAAATCATTGTGAGTTTAATTAACTCACTAGGAAATTTAATGTAATAATAAAAGTAAACTTTACGTACATTAGATCTGGTCTAAAATGATGTATGATTGCACAAAATGCCATTCCGTTTCTCCAAGATGTTGTAAGATTAGTAACTTTTACACCAGAATAATCTTTAGTTACATCCTTACACCATTCCAATAAATCCTGGCCTGGCGTAATTTCTTTTAATCTAGGAATAGCAGTATCATTCCTTGTTAGTTCCAGTGGTTGCAATGGTAATCTTAATGTACTGTGTTCAATGTTTTTACTATAGACACATGGAAAATTTGTTGGAAATTGTAATGTTTGAATTATTAATATCATTACTACGCAAAATTATAGCATAATCAAACAGGGGATTTGAAACATACTCATTTTCAACAGCAACAGTGTCTTTCAAAGATGATTTGTCTTTAATAATGCCTATTAGACTAACATCACTAATGAAGTAGTCATTATCGTTTACAGGTGTAGTATTGTCCTTTGATAAGCTTGCCACTGTTAAATATACAACAGCATTATTATAGCTTGAACATGTATGACCTTACATTTACTAAACCTTACCACTTATAGGAGTGCTAGGCAATTCACTTTCTGTAAGACTACTTGTCATTAAATCGAGTTGTGCAGAAATATCTAGGATTTCATCAAGATTTTTTACAGATACTTCTTCAACATCCTCAGGTATATCTTCATTATCAAAATCATCTAAAGGTGCTATATCACTATTATTGTTAACTGACATTAAGCTAGCCATACTCTGCATATCTTCATCTCTGATGAAAAATAAGGATATCAGATATAAAATGAATCTTATTGATTACAAGAAAAATGTTTAATTTTAAAATTATCTTACGTTGCTTTTCCTTCTCTCAAGAAAACACAAGATAAAGTACATTCTAATGAAGCGCTAACAATCTTTTTTGAAGTTGGTTTCAAGTCTAATTTAAGTTGTTGTTGACTAGATTCTAAAGTTGCATATTTTTTCATATTTATATTTGTGGCAGCCACATGCCGCCTTTTACCTGTAGAAGACACCTATCGCATACAATTTTAATATAAGTATTTTCTAAACACTTGTATTATCTAAAAATTCATACAAGTCTTGTTCCTTACATCTTCAATTACAAATGTCCAATCTTTATCTTCTAATTCATGAGTTCTTGGATCTTTGAACAAAGTTACAGAAACTGTATGATTATCGGGAACAGCCCAACTAATGACACCTTTCAATGGGTCACTTAAGTTTGGTTCCCAATCTAAAGGTTCTGAAGTTACTCTTCTACTACGTCTCGTCCACACAACACTTAATTTGTTTGGTTTCCTAAATATAAATGATACGAACGAATTACATTAACAAATACCAACATGTCAGTCATTGTGTAATATTATATTTATACTCTTTTTTGTTAACTTCAATTACGTCAAATAACAAATAAGATAATACACATAAACTAGAAATATTAGGCATCTGAAAAAAGAACTTAACAGTGTTCTATTTATTGCTTTATCATTTATTATGTGTGAATATTATGAAAGCTGTTTATATATTTATTGTGAATACTTTTTACTCATGTATCTGGATTTTGATTTGATACAAATAAATATAAGAAATTAATATTGAATAGCGATTTTAAAATGAAATGTAACATTATTTAAATGTTTTTAAATATTCATAATACATAAAAAAATAATAATCAATACATGTATCTAACGTCGTTAGTTTACTATAATATCCTGAAATAGCAATAAATAAAGAAAACATACTTATGATACAAAATTGAAGAGGACATTTAAAAAAATAAACACACATACCATTTCGTTGTTGTTTCTAAAGTGACTTCATGATATGACACAGTGAATTGAAATTTGGCAGCTCTCTTGTTTACCCGCTGCAGACGTTTCCAAACAGAACTCATGTTTTATTAAACTGTATTTTTCTAACAAGTATCAAAGGTTGTTTATATTACAATTATTTGTAGACGCGTGTAATGTTTTGTAACATTTTTATACAGAAATTACGAACACGAGGAGATCAGCTGTTTACGCTGAGCGTAGTACAGATACTTTTTTTTTACTGTACACAATTAAAGAATTAAAAGTCCAAGGTCCTGCAATCATTCATGCATCTGACATTTCTGACTGCACCAATACGTATAATGAAAGCGAGATTCGTCTGTTTATAGTGTTTTGGACTTTGCTTTTAATTCCAATGTATTAAACGTTTCATTATCATTTCTAAGTTTCCAGTGTCACTTACACAAAACACACCATCCCTGCTAGCACACTAAAAATATCACGACCACGAGATCAAAAAGTTTTACAATGAACTCGTACCGTGACGAAACCTTTTCTACTTATTGATCTTGTAGTATGTGATTCTATGATAGGAAACTTACATAAAATGATTGCCATTGAACCTGTCAACACAAATGCATCTATATTGACGTTTATATAAATCTACAGTTATATAATGCACATATAATTCAAAAGGAACAATTTGTGAAGTTTAATGGACATTTTAACAATAGTTTAAGTGAAATATAATTGAAACAAAAAGTATGACCTAGATAAACCACAAATTCTAAATACTTCAATGTACGTATTACAAATATAACGCATGCACAGTGCACTTTTGTAATAATATAATTGAAAATAAATATTTCAATTCCATTATACAATAATTCGTTATAGACAATTTTGTTTATCCTCTTTCTGCCGGAGAGTGTTCCCATCTATACCATAATGTTCTATGACAGAGATTGCACTGCGTAAAATTATAAAAATACTTTATATACTGTTACATGAACTTATAAATCTATTAATACATTTAAATTCCATTTATTTGTCTGCAAAGATTTATATTTTCTTTATTCAATTTTAAGTAGTATACAAAAAATGAAATTCATATTATTATGCAGAACGATTGGAATATCTAAAAAGTATGTTTAAATTAAAAATATGTAAATATAAAGAGATGTATACACAATAAATATGGCTGAATAATAAATCTGGAGTATACATATGGTCAATGAATAAAAATATTCAATACGTTTATGGAAAAGTAGCCTGTGGAAAATAAATTTATTAGATTTCATTTATCGTGTTAAACGAATGAGTGATGAGTGCAAAATGTTAACCATAGAGGGAGTATCAACCATAATGTTGCGCGGTTAAACATTGAAAATTTAAAAAATATAATTTAATTGTAGGTTAATTTACAAAATAAATAAATGTAGTTTGTAATTTAATGTACAAAATAAATAAATAATTTCATAAAATGTAATTTAATGTACAAAGTAAATAAATGTAGTTTGTAATTTAATGTACAAAATAAATAAATAATTTCATAAAATGTAATTTAATTTACGAAATACATAAATAATTTACGAAATACATAATAATTAGCTTTGACGGTCAACAGCTTGTCTTGTTTATCATTTTGTAATGTCATCATTGTTAATACTAATCTATTTTTTCTAAGTATAATATGGAATGTTTTACGATATTATTCTGCGTCTAATGACTAAATTAGTGGAAACTGTTGAATCATAATGACAGATGAATTTTCATGCCATACAATTGATATGACATATACTTATATCTGACACGGATTGGACATTAGAAAATTGTCTCTGACATCGGCGTTTCTATAAAGTAGCAGAGGATCGGATTATTCCTTGCAGTATTTTCTCGGATAAACTTTTGTAAAGTGAGCATTTCAGTGATGTGAACGTTCGTATGATATAGTACTCTTACGAATACTGGGACTCTTCTATCTATATAAAGTATTACATGAAAATATATTTAATTTACGGCGTTATTATAATTAATATAATATTTTATTTCTTTTATATAAAAATTACTCTGCTTTTTAGAAGAGAAATCTTTGAATTTCTTAAGTTACGATCGATATTCATTTCATCTATTCGGAGATCATCGGTGCGCTTTTCATAAATTGTACAACAAATTGTTCTATTGAAAATTCGCATTGCTCTGGATTTGCGTTAATGAGATTCTCCAAATCGTAATCGCTCATTACACTGTTTAATGATTCTTAATAATTAAACTACGCACTAATCTGAATGCATTTATGAGAAATTCGAATGTCCGAATTTAATGTCTTAGTTCAGTTTTATTTTAATGTTCTAATTGTTAACCCTTTAGCTACTGGTATATATTCACAAATGTGTCTGTCTAAACGCCAAACAAAAGAAAGAGAAAAGTTGCACAAATGCTGATACATTAATTTCTTATCTATTGTACATGTGATGATTTATGTACATAAGATGTAAACATAAACATAAACAATCTATGCACTTGCCTCATCGACACAATCACGATAAAATAAATAAAAGTCAATAAACGATCCCCGTTCTCGGCATAATTCATCAAATCGCTTATTGACGACAGCCGTAATTAAAGGGTTAAATATAAAACTAAAATATCCACGGTATATTGATTTCCGTAACATTTGTCAGGCAAAATCATTTATAATTACATTTTTAAAACCATTTGTAATTACGTATCTCGAATGACGTTCTTCAAAACTGAAATTTACCTGAAGGTTCGCAGTGTACTAGTAACTAAATGAGTGATAAGTGATGTTTCCGTGTCGTGCACGATTAGTGTAATTAATTAATAACAATAAATAACAACAATTTTGTTGATTCATCGTGTTGTCAACACAGCCGTATTGGGAAATGAGAATTATCATTTTTAACCGTTTGTCTTATGATTTCTTTCACAGCTGTACTTGATGAAGCTACTTTATTGTTAATGATTTAGTAGAACAGAAAATACTCTGATCCTTATTCTGTGTCTACGTTCACTCTAAAGGTTAAAAATTGATAATAGATAAGTAATATTTCATTTACATGAAAAATAAATGAATAACATTTGGGTTTGTCGAATTTGGTTGAAAATTTTCATCACTTGCTGACTCGATATTATAGGAGAAAGGGTTAAAACGTAAGATTTGTCCTCAGGAAACGAGACATCTCGTTTCCCAATGTGTATGTGTGTGTTGAGAAACTAGATAGTATATTATATTGTATATTAATTACGAAAATGATTATCGCATTGTTAATACACATACGTTGAAATATTTTTCATATAATTAAAATACCCCGTTTTATAAGAAAGTTTTAGCAAAAATTGCCGGATGCGAATGTATTAATAAATGAACGTTGGTAAAGCATATATAAACATTAACAAATGTTTGTTCGTATATTATAGATTCTAGACAATTAAGCGCAATGTTCCTAGAGACATGGTTAATATTAGAGATTCTGGGTCTGGCGATTCTAGCAGTCGCTGGATTATACATATATTACAAATATTATGTCTTTGAATTCTGGAATAAGAAAGGAGTGTTCACTGTTGAGCCAACATTTCTTGTTGGCAATATGATGCCGATTCTGTCCGGCAAAACGTCACATGGTAAAGTATTAAAATATTACAAATTAATAGTAAATTAATACTCTAATGTTATTGGTACATTGATAATTATAAATTACTAACTACAATTACTAACTATCAATTACTGAGTACTAAATATCTTTTAAGTTTGATTGCATGTATGCAATACCATAAATGCAACTTGCTTCGATAAATAACAACATACGGTGTACATTTCTTAAAATAATAAATTACTTCTTATTATGCTGTTCGAATACTTTCTTACATAATATCTTACATAACACGCATTACAGTATTTTACATTTTTTGTTATTACGAGACAAACTGGAGTCGTAATTAACTTATATACGTATTCAAGCAGACTGGATGATAGAAGGATAATGTATGGACATACACAGCAAACTTCAACTACAAAGTGTAACATTAGATAATTTTCTAGTCATCACTTTTTTGTGACTTTAAACGTACATAAGACTATATATAAAAATAAAATTCGTTTTTATTGGTTGTGTAAATAAGGGCTAATGTTCCTGATTTAAAAATAAATTTAATAATTTATGTCACTAATGAAACGATTATTAACTTTATAGGCGACTTCTTTCGGGATATGTACGAGCAAAATAAAAAACATTCCCTCCTTGGCGTATATATGTTGCACAAACCCCATCTCATGGTGAATGATCTTAATTTAGTCAAGGAGTTGTTAACGAAGAATTTCTCGAGTTTCCACGATCGTGGAGTATTCTTCAACGAAAAGACAGATCCGCTTTCCGGGAATTTGTTTCAAATGCCCGGGAAGAAATGGAGAAACTTGAGGGTGAAACTGACGCCGACTTTCACTTCTGGAAAGATTAAACAAATGTTCCCGACCCTGCAAGAACTCTCAGACAGACTATGCAAATATTTGGATGAAAAGGCCGAATTGAAAGAATCAATCGACGTGAAAGATGTTTTTGAAAGGTAAACGGTTACAGTACATTTCTCGGAAAGAGAAGAATTCATATCGATTTTTAAACAATCCAGGGAGTCTTGCAATTTATCTAATGCTTTTAATTGTTCTAACAAAAATTCTCGACACTTTCAGTATTTCCGTTCATTTACGGAATATTTGATTCGCCATCGGTGATTTCTGTCTTGCTGGATAGAACGAATCATTCGCCGATAGCTCGTTCTCTCGATGAACAGAAATTTGCACAATTTGTTTTAGGTATACGGTGGATATTATCATATCAGTGGCATTTGGAATATCTTGCGACAGTTTCGAAAATCCGAACAATGAATTTCGGTCCTGGGGCAAAAAGATATTCGAGCCGAGGATCGTATGGAACACTCTAATATTTTGGGCGCCGCAGGTGCTCGATTTCTTTTCTTTGCCTTATACCGACCGGGGGGTCACGAAATTTTTCACCACCATGTTTCGGGATACGGTGGAATACCGGGAGGCCAATAATATCGTCAGAAAAGATTTTTTGAACTTGCTGATGCAACTGATGAGAAATGGATACTTGGATCCAGACGAGGACGCAAAGACTGAGGCTGAAGCAAGTATGATCGTTTTCTTAGTCGTGAACTGTGAATTATTTTATGTGGGATCAGCTGATAATTATCTAATTAACACTAAGTATCACGGTCGGTCGAACGATTAGTTTTAAAATTCGATTGAAAACTCGGCGTTTTTGAATCAGTTCGGTCGGTTCTTCAATTTTTATTTTTGTTCCGTTTCTGTTTTCTTTATAATATTCATTTTCAAAATCGTTATTCGAATATTTAATACTTTTGAAATATCAATACCTGCGAAATAAGAGAATTGAAATCAGTCGTTTTGGCTGATACGTGGTTCTAGTGTTAACACGTTGAATGCCGTGGAGGTCGATTGTAAACAACGTGCAATAATAATAATGCAATTCAATCAAATGATTTGCTATCATATTTTTTTCCATTTCGTGTATTTTACTATATGAAATCGTGCAGCATTCAACGTGTTAATTCTGAGATGTACGAAGTTTAATATGATTTAGAAGTTTTGCTATATTATTGTAAGAAAAATTCGTTTCTCCCTTTAGAAATGGACAATAATAAATTAGAGCTCCTACAAGCTGCAGCGCAAGCCTACGTTTTTTACATAGGTGGATTCGAGACATCCTCGACGACAATCACATACTGTATGTATGAGTTAGCAAAACATCAAAATATACAAGATAAATTGCGAAATGAGATTCAAACTGTTATCAAACAACACGGCGGCTTTACGTATAATGCTGTAAACGACATGCCTTATTTGCACAAAGTGGTTTCAGGTTAGTATGCATATCGATGATTACACCAAGAAACTGATTTTTAATTTGTTGCATTGCAATATTAAACTGGTTTGCCAAATGAGTTCGATAGGTTACCAAAAAGAAATATTTTATACCAATCCTCTATCTTGACAAGGAGAATAATTATAAGAAACATCGATTTATCAATTCAGACCTGAGGCACATTGTATTGTATGTACATACACTGTTCTACTGCTTTCAATATATGATAAAATATTCAAACTATGACAGACATCCGTACATCTTATATTTCAATCCATTTCTATCAGAGAAGATATTACCACTTCTTATACGCAGTGTATGTCATTGTGCATTGAATAGCTGTTAAGTAAGCGCGCATAATTTATACGAGAATCAGGTTTGAGGAGATGCACGAGAATATTAGCTAATACCAATGATTAATATGTACATTTTAACAAACCAATTTTTAATGGAATAAAACAATTCCGAAGACAGGGTTAAATTTTCCATAGCACGAAAATTGGAGCAAACATTCATTAACAATGTTTCGATTCACGTTGAGGGCGCTGACTCTGAAGGGATTAATGTCGGGCAAAAATTTGATGAAAATTTGACATTATTATAGAGAAGCAAATATTTTATTTTACTTTTCTCATGTGTTCTAAGTTGCATACCTGTTGCAGAAACTCTGAGGAAATATCCTCCGATTGGCACTCTAAATCGCGTGTGCACGAAAGAACAATGGATCGATGAAGAAGGCGTTACAGTTCCTCTAGGAATGCCTGTAATAATACCCGTTTTTGGTATTCACCGGGATCCCGATATATATCCAGAACCGGAAAAGTTTGATCCGGAACGCTTCTCCGAGGAGAATATCAAAGCTAGACATTCGTACGCTTATCTGCCATTTGGAGAGGGGCCAAGGATATGTATCGGTAAATATTGTATCATTCTGTATTCAATTTTATCGAATATTAACCCCGGGAAATATAAAGAGAACGATCTTTTAACACACCATTTAAAATTTCAATGTTTCATAAGCATAAAATTTATAAGTATATTATTTCTCTCCGCGGAATATCTGAAAAAAAAAAATTATTTGTCACCGGTTAAATTGTAAAATTAATAATGGAAAACCATTTTAAGTATAGCAAAGATATTTTTTAAAAAAGCTATCGGGAATAAATAGTTGTTTAAATATTTTATAAATGGAACAAATAACGGAAATAACTTTGATGAAGTGATTAATTTTCAATCATTTCGATGGAACATTCACAGAAATTGAAAGAACGTTGTTCATTGAGAAACTGTATATTTTCTAAGAAGAAATTTAACTTGTTTATCTTAAGACACTGTTTTTAAGATTAAAGTGGACTCAATGTTTATTATCTTCTAAATTCAGTAGAATAAACTTAAATGAACAATATATTTTTCTTTGTGTCGTTTTGTTATAGGTTCACGGTTTGGATTGCTGCAAGTAAAAATTGCTGTAATAAATACATTACTCAAACACAGGGTGAAACCTACACCCAATACGCCGGATACCTTGGAATATGAAACTGGTTCTATAGTTCTACTACCAAAAGGTGGTGTGCACCTTAACATTGAGCGGTGTGTATCTTGACATGATTACGAATTTAGCCCTAAATTATTTTTCTGTATATATGTACTCTAATTATTCTACTAATTCAAGTAGAACGATCATGTAAATCGGCCTATGAAATTTGTAAAATAAATTACACAGAAAGTAATGTTGATTATTTGAGTTGTTTAATATGGTACTGTCTGTCGTATATGGCCATTAATAAAGTCTATAGAAATTATAAGTTTATATGAAGGTTTTGTCTGAGTTGAATTTCTACAAATCTTCAATTCTTGATTGAAACCATGCAGATGAAATATGAAGTACAGTTATCCGTAAAGTGAATGCAATCCTGCATAAAGTAATTATAAAAAATAAAAATGCCGTAGATAATAATCGTGAGTTAATAGTTTCATTATTTCGTAATGAACTCTGAAGAAAACATGTGAAAGTTTAGTAAGGTAACGACCCTCTCTTCGGTCATGTACTACTGTGATTGTGAAATTTTGTAATAAGTGTTGTTTACAGAAATATACGAATATTTTTATCAATTATTAATTTTGTGCATCGACAGAGTTTCTATTTTTTACGTTTAATCGGATATTAAATATGAAAATGTTTCTAAGAAATCTACAATGAAAATTACGTCCTGCTTAATGCCCTTCATTGACATATTTTTACCAATCCAAAGCACCTTCTATTCGTTATTTTATTAGCAATTAAATTGTTCTTCTTTGTGCCGTCATATGTTGACTAAGAAGATTGTAAATAATGTTGAAATTAAAAAACTGTTTTTCAATTAGCTCCTCACTGCCTGTTTCCCATTAAAAAGCTATAATTTGAAATGCTGGTAACGCACGTGTTACCGAATGCAAAGACCAATCAATAATAAGCGTATTAAAAATGAAAACACCTTATCCTTAAATGATTATTTATATCGTACTTCCTAAACACAGTAATTTAAAACCGTGTTTTCAAGGAAAGTTTACCAAAGTTTACCGAAAGCTTACAAGTTTCACCGAATTTGATTAAACTTAAATCAAATCCACCCAATTCGTTATTCCAACCTCCCTATCACCCTTCAACGAATTTGTTTATTCATAATATTCATTTCGCAATTGGCACAAGAAGCTCAATAAAAATTGCCTACTGCAACACGAAACCTAAGTTCAACATTTTAACAATCTCGCGCCGTTCGATCGCACCGTTCCCTCAAAGAAGATAAAAAAATGATGTGACATTCAGAGACATCAAATTCGCAAATTGGTGGTTTCAACAACATTTTATTTCACAGTCTGACATATGGAACACAACGATACTCCTGTACATCCTGACAAAGACCAACAACTAAATTCCACTGGGGTGATCGAGAAAGGGAGAGGTTAGTAGCGGTAACCCTTCAGATCGTAACCATCAGCGGGCAAAGCGTTCGCTAGACTAAGAAGCTCCGAACGATGAAGTCCATTGGGCGCACGAAGGCCAGCAGCTTCCGCGAGATGTCCTTGCTCGGCGAGTAAAGCGCCGCGTTCGTCAAGGCCGAGGGCCCCAAGACCGCCAGCCTTCTGAAGCGCGGCAGCTGAAAGAAGGGATCCAGGTCCGCGAAGATGGCCAGCTGCCTCCAAGTGACCCGGCGCGAGCAGAGGACCAGTTTGAATGGGAGCAGGTATCTGAAGCGAGCCAGGCTGCAGGTGAGAACCAGGCGACAGCAGATCGGATTCTCTAAGCCCGCCAGGCGAAAGGAGAGCAGATTCTCTAAGCGGTCCGGGTCCTAGCAGAGGACCAGCTTCCTTAAGTCCAGGCGCTAGAAGAGGACCCACTTCCTTAAGTCCAGGCGTTAGGAGAGGACCAGCTTCCTTGAGTCCAGCCGAAGCATCGAGCAAGCCAGGGTGTCGCAGAGGGCCAGGCTGAAGCGTGACTGGCGGAGCTGCTTCCACCGGTTGGTGGCTCAGAAGGGCCGAAGCGCCAGCGCCGTCGGCCACGCTGGCAGCCGCAGCTTGAGCGTTGTTTTGAGCTGCCGCGGCCGCGGTTGCAGCCTTCTCCGCTGCGGCTTGCGTACTCTCGTAGTCCAGACGAGCAGCGGACAGTTGCTCGTCGACGGTTTCCGCTCTGGCCTTAGCCTGACCCAGCATGGTGGTCTGCGCGGCCAGCTCGGCTGCTGCCTCAGCAGCCGCTTGCGCCGCACGGTCGGCCGTAGTTTGAGCAGCGTTCAACGCGGCGGTGATCACCTGCAGCTGATGCATCGCCTGCTTAGCGGTGGTCCTCGCCGCGTTTGCGGACCGCTCGGCCTGCTGCAGCTGGAGATTCTCGCCGTCCACCGACACGTGGGCGTCACGGGACTGTTGCTCCAGGCCCTGGACGACGATCTGCTTGCCGGCGAGCGCGGCCGCAGCGGTCGCCGCCGATTGCGCCGCGGCCTGCGCCAATGTGTTCTTCGCCGTGTAGGCTGCTTGCCCGGCCGCTGATTGCTGGTTGCTCAGCTGAGTGTGGGCCTGCTCCGCTGCACTTTTCGCGATGTTGGCTAACGGCCCACCCACGCTGAAGCCGGGCTTCAGTGGGCTGCGAGCCGGGCCCAGGCCAGCCGCTGGCAACGCCGGGCCTGGTTCCAAATAACCCGCGGACTCCGCGTATCCTAGTTGTGGCTCCCGTTGAGCGTACTCATACTCGTAACCGCCAAGGTGGGGGTCCAGCACTTGCTTCTTGGTTGGACCACCCTGTACCAGGCACATGTATCCTAATAGTAGCAGGGCTTTCCTCATGTTTTGGGATTTTCTATGGTCCAGTTCCGGGAAAACAGATTCTGCGGACAGAAAGATTTGAGTTAAGTTTGGAAGGCGTTCTATAATCGGCAGCTTTACTGATTGACAATCTGTAGCGTTCGAATATGAAGATGAGCTGATTCGCTAGTAATAATAGAATACTTTCGAACAATATTACGGGAAAACTGATGATTACATTATATAGGGTTACTTGTAATAATTAAGGATTATTGCTGTTAGTAGTTACTCGAACAACATCGTTACTATAGGTATAAGAAACGTATTACGCTTATTAGTGAATATTTTGTTTTTAATTCAATCATTTGATTTCTTTAAGAACTCCGAGACATTGGTTTTTTACCGTGGGAACATCGGTATTTTCACACAACAAGTTGTATAAATAATTTCTGGAATTTAATTGCGAAATCATGCTTGCGTGACTTAGCAGTTTATAACTTGAATCATTTCTTATGTAATTTTAATGACACGAAGCTTATTTTCTAATGCTTCTTTCTTGCGTAAGTTTAGAAATGAAATATTTCGTAAATGCTTTGCAATGTTTAAGAAACTATTGGTAAGTTCAAATATAGTTTTATATAATACTGAACGTTAAGTTCACTGATAATATTATTCGTTTCGTTTCAAATTCGTAATTTCTATAGAGTGTACGGTGATAAGTAAATAGTGAAGCGTGAGTACATAATTTTTTGTCGGTGTCAAGTTTATTTGAAACATTCAGGGAAATAGTTTTGTTCGTAAAAATCGAAGACCGCGTAAAAACTTGACATCTATAAAGCCTTTATGAGTAATGCAATTTCTCTTTACGATTACTCTTGCAGATTATCGTGACCATATTCATCGAAAACCGTTTCGTTTTATCATCTCGCACGACTATTCGTTACTTGGCGTGCGGTACACTTTAAAAACAGGTTGAGTAACAACAGCCCACGGGCTATGCGGGCTGAGTCATCTAACTCGAGCACTGTAAATCACTCGCGAACCGTTTGCTACATGAGAAAATGTTTGAAGTGAATGTTGCATAAAATCAAAGGGAACATATGTAATAATGATTGATCGTTACGTTAATTTATTTTGTATCGAGATTCGAAAACCACTCTGAATTTAGTAAACAGAACAAATTTCAATGGAACAGATATCATTCGTTACGTATATTATACGAGAAACTGTTTAAAATAAATGTTGCTTAAATTCAAAAGCAACAACAAAAATTAATTTTTGTTTGTACCGAGATTCACAGATCATTCTAAAATTATCAAATGGAATGTATTTCAATGAAACAAAATTCATTTTTTATTTGTTTCGAGGAGAACCATTATTTGAACACGATCCTGATTTCTTCAATCGACACTTGCAATTTAAGTTTATAGAACGTATGTGACCGTAACATTATGGCGAGGCATTTTCCTTGACCTACTACCACTCAGTCTTGAATTCATAAACTGTGAATCGTAAATGAAATTACTGTTCCGAAAATTCACCTAAACTTCGTAACAACATTTTCAACTGACGTGAGAAACAAATCTACAATAGTCTCCCCTATAACTGTTGGTTGATTTATTTATTAACGCGTTAATTACAGTGGAAATAAAGAATGAATAAGAATGATTTATTTATCTGACAATTTACAGGATGTTGGTTCTCTCAAAGTAACGCGCAACTTTCATTTTATCCATGATACCGGAAACGCAATATCCTAACGAATGTTTCATTCAACAAGGACATAGTTAAATAATTATTAAAATATAGCTATAAAAATGAAAAAATTATGCAAGCAGAGGAAGAAAACGAATCAATATCCAAAAGGCGACTTCAGTGAGATATAACACGTTCACACTGGCATGTACTATCGGTGTGTCAACGTTAATAAGTAAATCATTTATTAAATTGTTTGTTAACACTAGATTTACGTATATTCATTGTACTTTGTTCTATTGCTTTTAGAAAGATCGATATTCGTTCACTTAAACCTTAAAAACGATTGATTTAAAAGTAGATAATTTACCAAACATTTGCCAAATAATGTTTATAATATTCAATGTGTGTCAAAAAACAATAGTCGCAGAATCTTTGGCGCGTTATAGGAGTTCACGTTCTGAGAACTCGCGTTATACGGTAGTCTACTGTTACAGAGATTGAAAAGGTTCCAAAAATAACTGTTTGAAACGGCTGCATATCGATTCCGACAGAAACAGTTATGAAGAACGGAAGTAAGTCATAACTGTCATCGGTTTCGGTTCCGATTCTTCAGAACCGATAGTATATATGTCAAAACAGTTATACAGAGTCGAAACGAAGAACCGAGAAACAACAGTTCTATAATTATCATTCTCTGGTTCTTAACACGTTGAATGCCATGGGGGTCACCGGTGACTCCCGACTAAATCGAATTACTATAGTTCACTTCAATTAAACGACGATTATTTGACATTTCTGTATTATAAACAATGCTTCCGAACGCGGTGATAATGAGCAAGCTCAGCGTGCAATAATAATAACGCGATTCAATCAAATGATTTGATATTATATTCTTCCCATTTTGTGTATTTTGCTCTATATCGTGCGGCGTTCGTGTTAAAACAGTTACGAATAATCAAAATGAACCGAAAGATAACAGTTATAGAACCGTTTCAGAACCGGAACCGATATACCGAATAACAGTTATGACTTTCGGTTCTTCGTAAGTATTTCAAGAATCGAAGCCGATATCGTAACTGTCTTCAATCCCTGCTTCATGCCTAGAAAATTGAACTCGAGAGATATCCTTTGCATAATTTCAATTGACAGCGGTCGTTTCGTGCGACAGAGCCATAAGGAAATTCATTAGTCGTTTCAGAACTATTTAATTCTGTCATATGAGGTATGAAATACGCGGTGTATACGTATACTGCAACGGGTTGCGTAATCGAACGAATTATAATCAAACGGTCAACGTCGAACGGGGTTAATTCAGTTATATACCCCGGGGATTGCATATCTATTTACGAAATTCCGGATTGACGTAAAATATTCATGACGCACGTAGTACCACCTTTCCGGCGCAACTCTGTCGCAATTACCGCCGCGCCGCCGCTGTTGCTGTCGGCGCGCCGGTTCAAAACCAAAAGTCTAGTTCCGTCGCGCTCTGAAAAGCAGCGGCGAGCGCATAATTAAGCGGCCGCGGGCAGATCTTATCTGCAACTACGTATGATTCTACGCACGTGTTAAAAGAAGGTAACGTTTCTTCAATCAGAAACACTTTGTCCCCCCCCGAGTCGGACTTTTTTTCGAGGCACCCTTTCGAATCTGATACATTGTGGCAAAAACTGCGCGAATACGGTATGTTATGTCCTTGCGGAAACGCGGAGCACTTATGTCGAAAGTGTAGATCGAGAATTATCGACAGCCTTTTTCAGAATAAAATTCTAATTATCCCCTGTTAACACTGAAACTAATGTACCCGTCGAAACCACCGGTTTTAGTACCCCTGTTTTGCAATTATCGCGTTATTGATTTCGAATGTAAGTAGTTTCAGTTGTACACTATGACGATTGTCTGTGGAAATCGAAGAAGTATTGTTGCAATCTTTATGAGGATTACGTATCAATCGTATTAAATGTTTAATTGTTCTAGTGTTGATCGAGAATATTCTTTCCAGTGGTTTTACTTCTATTTAGTGATGCTTTGTTAGTTTGTTTTGGAAATTTTGCTGTTGGAAACTTGGCGTAGTCCAAATCTTGATGGCACTTTTTTTATATTGTTTAGATTGAAGCTTTCGTATGAATCGTAGTTCTAGTGTTGACACATTCGCGACAAATTTTTCGATTTTCTAGTACTTATTGCTGGCGAAAATCGAGACAATCTTGAGTTAATTGCTACAAATTTGTGACGTTACAACGGAGTCAAAAATTAAAAGTTTGTTTTAGAATATTAGTTTGATGATGATCTGTTGTTTGAAGTGAAGAACTCGGTTAAAGCAGTCGCCAATGGAAAAGACCGGAAAAATAAAGTATATTGAAAGATATTATATCTTAAAACACGTGAATTCACGTTAGCGGTCGCTAAAGTAATTAACTATTGAATAATATTCAATTAAATATATTTAATAAATATCGTAAGTAATAAATTGCTATACAATTACATTAAATATTAAATATTAAGCTTTCAGTTCATAAAATGGTGACTTGTTTTTACTTGTTGTCAGCATGACAACATTCAACGAGAAAATAAAAACACACGTCAAATTCACTCGCAACACTTTGCATCGAGTATATTAATTATCCTTCAACATAATCGTATTAACCAGTTAACTGCGATGAACGAGTATACACATCATTCTAAAATTTAATCTGATACTAAGTCTTCCAACGATGAATTATTTATTTTTTCAGATAAACATTTAATTCTTTTACTTTGGTTTTTCTATTAATTCATTAAAATATACCCTAGACATATTCGTTCTTTGACGAGTACACACATTTGTTGATTCTATAGCACGCAAGACGAGAGATTTTTCGAACTAAATTCCACAGTTAAATGCCGGAGAATTCTACTGTTAATCATTGAAAGCAAGCGAAAGGGGTATGTGGTCCAGTATTACAGATATAGATGCCATAAGGAAATGCCAGCACTAAAACCGTAGAATTGTGAAACCGAGTGGAAGCACGCTGCCGTAAAAATAAATGCGCCAAAGAGAGGTTTCTCTACTAGTGTAATCGATTATCGCATATCTTAGTTACGATTGGAGGAGTGATGAATGTAAATACATTGGCTTCATCTTTCATTCATGCCCATGAGAAACTATTCTATCGAGACTCGAAAAAGAAAAATGGTGAAAATATGTCAAGGAATTGACTTTCTCGGTAAATGTTTCGAACGTGAGTAATACTGCACGGTGCGTATTTATTGCCACCAGATTAATATCTACGTTTTAATATAATTCACTCTATATAATTCAACGTTGCTTTATTAGTTATTCAAAAAGAAATGAATTGATAACGTTCCGTGGCATAATAATGAAAATAAATGAATAGATTGAGAATGTTTATGGGAATTTATATTGTTACAACTGAATCGCAAGGAAAATTATTTATGAAATGTCAAACAAAATAAATTTTAATGAATCTTTCGTTTATTGTATGATGTGTTGATTTTAGATTTTAAGAAAACTTCCTCTGAAACTTTGTATTAAACTTTGTATTTATTATGAATGAATTTATAAATTATTATTGTTTGAAAAAAAGAAAATTGATATAATAACTAATTTTATAGTAACTTGAATGTATTGAAGAAAGTAATTTGCTATAAATCGTTTTTGATCTAACGAAACTTTGGAAAAAAAGCGGAAATTAATTTCTGTATTGTTCTCGATTCCGTCAATTAATCTCTTTAATTGTTTTCTTTTACGATGAGCACGTTGATGTAATGTAACATTGAACAGAAACTTAGAAGGTCCGTAGTGTTCTGAAAGTTGACCTTTCATGTTCGCCAAGTAAATTCCACAGCTGCAGAAGTCAGTGAAAGTATATTGTGTACTTCACACGAATTTTTGCAATTTGTACCTTTCAAGTTAGATACAAATCACGCATGCTTCGAATAGAAATTCCGCTTAGCTAATCTGATATTCCTCGACAATAACGAAGCACAAAACGAAGGTAACCCACGAGAAGAATATTCAACGTGTAATAAAATTATTCTTTAAAAAATACGATAAGCGTTATCATTATCAAAAGTATCAGCATGTGAATTAATTTCTAACTGCAACTATTGCACAGTGTAAAATAAAAATATAGGGTTTGTAAATAAGTAGAAAGTTTTTGCTTTTTCATTTACGGTTGAACTGCTCATTAGAAATCATTATTTTATCTATAATCTAATACATTACACAATAACGTAAAAACTTTTGACATACAGACGTGTGTGCACAATTTCTATTTCTCTACGAAAATAAGATCATTTAAAATATTTTCTATGGTTCACTGTTGTTTTATATATTTATATATAAATATTATTCACATGCTGATGCTAAACATTTTAATTTCTATAAATTCACAAACCGACTGGAAATTATCAACGATAACTGAACCAAAATAATCAAATCCACATTGTTTATTCGAAATTCATTGAAACATTCATTCTTATTACACAAATTTATTCGTTGTTCATTTTTTATTAAAATTCTGAAAAAATAATCATGACAATGCAATCACGTCATCGAAGTTTGATGTTATCTTAATTTATTCTGTTATTAACACACTGGATGCTACTGAGATCACCCCAATCAAATCAAATTACAGTAATTCACTCAATTAAATGAAGACTATTTGAAAATATTCCTACATTACAAATATCACAATTTGAACAGGTGAATTTCAGCAAGATAAAGTGCAATAATACCAACAGAACACCATTAAACAATTTGATATTATATTTTTTGTATTTTGTGTATTTTATTTCGTACAATTGTCTAGCATTCAGCGTGTTAATTTCAATCTGATAAATTTAGTAATGAAATCGACTTCTTATTGATCTAGACATATTGCAAATGTTTCAAACAGGATTTGAATTTAAAAGTTAAACTTATTTATTCTACGTAGGTTGCTGCAAAAGTTTCGAGAATTGTTATTCAGTTGTTTGTTATTTTTGTAAAGATTCAGATTTTGAAGTTTAGAAAGTGCAGACACAAAGCAATGGAAAATATTTTAATACCGAAGGAAAATATTTTGAAAAACAGTGAAACCGTTGGTTCAAACTTATTTCTGATTTTTCTCGTTCTTCCCTGAAATTGTTGTAGCAATTCACGTAGAAAATGTTAGAAAATGTTAGAAAATGTGAATGTAAATAATCATCGTTGATTAGTAATTAATATTTAATTTAAATAAAGAATGTTTGGTACTCACTGAATATAATTGCTGAACCGATCGAGCGGTTGAAGTATCGGTGCTGTCTTTGCTCAAGGAAACAACTAAGAACTGATACCAGTTACTTGATCATTGGAGTTCTTATAGCTCTTGTAGTGTAAGCTGATGGTAGTTGCGGAAGGGGTTGAGGGCAGTGCAAACAACGATTACACTGCTCTGTGTCCTTTTAACGTACACTTGTAAAGATTTCTTTGTTTGCATTTTGTTTTGTCTCATTCGAACAGTTATATAATATAATTAAACATAATATTATTTAATTAAACATACATTAACTACCTAATGAGCGTATAATAATTTAAAACACAGGTTTAAAGTTTCGCATAGATTTGCAATCATCGTTACTTTCGAACAGACATTTTAAATATAAAATTTTAGAACTATGTATAGACGAGTATAAACAAATTGATTAAAAAAAGCTAAATGCCTCCTTTAACATTTTTGTTTTATTTTGAAGTCAAGGTGAAGAATATATGGACAAAGTACTTATTATTTGCTATGATTCATTTACTGTATGTTGTAGTATAAAATTTATATTTTTTATAGTATACGAGTTGGTTTTTTAATCATTGAATTTTTTATCAATTCAATGATTCATCAGTCAAATGTATAAATTATATTTTATAAATATATAATTTTATATGTATATATAAGTATATTTATTGCGAAATAATTTAAATTTTCGAATACATACATGCATCTTAATGCACAAAGTTCGATGCAATCGCGCTTCATTTTGTTTTTCTTGCCGATGTACCTACATTCTCGCACCACATTAATCATACGTGATATTATACCTTGATATATGATGATTTATATGAACTATAGCCCCGCATTCACCTGAGTCAATCGCTTGCAGCATGCGTCTCTTTTATATTCTTTATCTCGGTAAGTTTCTCAAAATATATTCATCAGCATTCCTCTCCATAACCAAAATAAGAACAAATTTGTTCCAGTAATGCTGACGATTGAATATATCGACTGCGGAAGGTATCACAAGATTCCAGTTAATATAGTGAGTGTAATATTATTCTTCGATTATTCATCTCCACGTCCAGTATTTTCACATATTTTTCAACCTACAAATGTATAATATGTACAAAACGTTTTATAACCTCTAACGTTCTTCACGCTGTTCTTCATTTTGTTGGAAATAAAATATTTCAACCGAGCAGCGAATTTTAGGGAAATAAAATGTTTTCGTTTTAATCGTTTGAATTATAAGGCGAAATACTTTTATATTGTATTTTATATGCACTGAAAATATGTATTGATAAAAAGAATTATCAAGAATTAACAAGAATTTACAAGAAACCAGAATATTCGCATAATGTGTATATTTTTAAATTAAACACGACGATCCGCGTGTAACGGGAATTATTATTGTTTAGGTTGCCTGTAAAATGTTAAAAATTAAATACTATTTGAAAAACTTGTGGCGGACTAATGAGATATTTTATTTTCAATGTTGCTTGCACGATTTAAAATAAAGTACACCACGTTTATATATATCGTAGGAAATAATGTATAGCATTATAAATAATATAGTAAATAATTTATAGTACTATAAACTAATATTATAATTATAGTATAAAATTTAACATAATATAATTTTTATAATACTATATTATATACTTTAAGTAAATCATTGTATTCTAAATTATTAGACTATAGTATTTTGTAATTATACTATAAAATACTTTATATTATAGATAAATTATATTTCGTTTTTTATTTCGATAGAATCAGAGAGAGGTACATTATGTAGACGGAGATAATACCGGTCATGCTTGTCGCGGAAGTGCTGGGAACACTGTTGAGAAGAAAAACGTGGAGCAAAAGACCAGCAGCCTCGCGCAGAAAGCTGCTCAAGAAGCAAAAGCCGCCTCGGATGCTCAAAACATTGCCGGCCAGCAAGCAGCACGTCAAGTACATATTTATTTCCATTTCATACGAAGCATTAAATTGTTAAAAATAAGTGATTTTATATTTATTCAAAAAAATTAATTGTATGTATTTATTAAAAAGAGTTTATTTAATTAATGTATTTATACTTTTGTTATATTCACTCGTTCTCTCGGATTGTAGCTTTTCACTGATATACAATATAATGATAAATAATATTACAAAAGCAGCACAGTTTACGTTAGTAAAAAATTATATTATCACAGAATAAATTAATATAGCCCACTTTTAATTCAGTCTCATCTAAATCATTGTTAATTAAATGTAAAGAAGCTTTGATTCAATTTTATTTCATTTTTTATCTAATTATTATCATGTGCTGTATCATCATTTTGATTAGAAATTATCCATTTAAGTATTATCTAATGATTCCACGATGAAATCGAATGCTTTATGGTGTACAAATATTTCTTTATCTATTTCCCTTTTTCTTCGGTCGTAAAGGTAACAAAGAGACAGTAGTTAATGACAGTGAAGGAGAAATAATTATTACTCCCGAGCAACTCGTTAAACCTCCCTCGCACGGTGTCAGAGAACGAATACCGTATCTTCTACACCTGTCGTATCTGTTTGCAGGTACTAATTATTCGATACATTAACGAACAGGAGTGAAAGGAAGATGAATTCGTTATCTCGGTAACTAGAGAACATATTAACGTCGTCAGTTATCGCTGTAATTTATTGTATGTTTTATCCGGTACATCTGTATTATATATTTGCAATCAATCATTTAAGGTAGCAATTAGAATTGAAATGCACCGACCACGATCGGAAACACACAAATCACATTTCTGCACTCGAATGAAATGTTATAACAATCTGGTGCAAAGCTACACGTCACGCAACCGAAAATAACAATCAGCGAATCCATAGAGTGTTTACTT